TAGTGTAGTGTGTTTTTAGAAAATTACATAATCTAGTTTTTAAGCTTATAATAAGCTAGAGGGACCCACTTTTTTATGTTAGCTAATTAGTTATAATATTAATTAATTTATGTATTCATTATTATAATTCAAGTATTTAATTAGATTTATTGTTAATTATTTAAGCTTTTTTGAAAATTAAAAATATACTTTTCTTGTTAATGCTTTAGATATAGCGAATTAGCCGGCTTACTACTCTTTAAAGTTAATGTAAATAGTAATAGAGGCTATATAACTAGAGCTCTTACAAATATATCCCCTTTAAATTATAGAAGTTATATCTCTTTTTTACTATTAAGCGAGTAATTTTAAGAATTAATCTTTATAGCTTCTTTTTCTTTTCTTAAAGCTCTTATAGCTTCTTTAATTAAGCGATTTAATTCTAAAAAGTTATAATAGCCTTATTTAATTATTTAGGTATTTTTCCTTTACTTAAAGCTATTATATTCTCTTAGTTACTTAATAATTCTATTAGGTTCTCTACTATTAAAGGTAAAGGCGCCTATAAAATAGGGGTTCTTTAGGTGCTTATTCTTACTATTTTAACTAGGTAACTTTTTAAGAAGCTTTAAAAATTATAAGATTATAAGAGGGACTAGAAGTTAAGTAGTTAAAGTAAAGGTTATTATATTATTATAATTAAAGCTTATCTTATTTTCTAGTTATATAAGATGTAGGGGATATAGTCTTAAAGCCCTCGTTCCACGTAACGTTATTAATCGCGTTGCAGGTGGGCGGGGTTCCCTAACTACCTTATAAAATATTAATAGTATACGGGTACTACGCTAAACTTATAGAACTTAACGCTACGAATAAGAAAAAGGGAAAGACTTATTATAATTATAGTAAGACTAAATACTTTACGAATAAATGTAAAGCCTTAAAAAAGCTATAAAAGCTAATCTTTAAAGGTAAGAAGCTTTATACTATAAATTAAAAAGACTTACTTACGCGAAATCTTAGTATAATAAGAAATAAAGAAAACTATACGTTAATAAATAATATTAGTTTAAATAAAGATTAAAAATTTAAAACCTAATTAATATCTAATAACTTTTAAAAATACTAAATACTCTTATTAAAAAG